AAGTGATAAAGATAGTGCCTGCGCCGGGGCTCGAATCCGCGACCCTTGGCTCTCCAGCCCGATGCTCTACCGCTGAGCTAAAGGGAAATTCCCTACAGCTGACGCTTGTAAGGCAACTTAATTAATCGACATCTTTTACACTATTCCCCCCTTTTTTCGAATATCAACCCAGGTTCTTTGACTCCCCACCAAGGGTTCTCCTACCTTGAACGGGGAGGGTCAACGGCACCAGTTTGTAATAGGACGAGGAATAGTGATAAAGATAGTGCCGGCGCCGGGGCTCGAACCCGCGAACCTTGGCTCTCCAGCCCGATGCTCTACTGAGCTAAAGGGAAATTCCCTACAGCTGGACGCTTGTAAGGCAACCTAATTAATCGACATCTTTTACACTATTCCCCCCTTTTTTCGAATATCAACCCAGGTTCTTTGACTCCCCACCAAGGGTTCTCCTACCTTGAACGGGGAGGGTCAACGGCATCAGGTTGTAATAGGACGAGGAATAGTGATAAAGATAGTGCCGGCGCCGGGGCTCGAACCCGCGAACTTTGGCTCTCCAGCCCGATGCTCTACTGAGCTAAAGGGAAATTCCCTACAGCTGGACGCTTGTAAGGCAATCTAATTAATCCACATCTTTTACATATTTAACAATACACTGAATACTCATTTGTACTATTTATCTAGTCAAAGTTCAATTTGTAAATCAAATTCATCTATGATATATTTAATTTCTTGCAATTATGTCTGAACAAGCTATATGTGTATATGTTCCTGTTACGTGTATTAAAAAGATCCATTCAAGAGAAAGCAAATGATTGCTACATAGATTTTTTCACAAACAGGGCAGGAAAGCGATTTCTTTTACAATTGAAATGAAACGATGTCGTCTGTAAAAACTTAGAAATAGTACATCCTCGTTGTATGTAAACTATCTAAAAGATCCCCGTACCGCCAAAAACCGTAACGAAATATTGGAAACTTGTTATTCCAGGCCTGATTTATGACCTTAATTAGATGTTACTTGGACGTTAAGCCAAATAAAACCAAAACCTAGCGGGGGCTTTTATGAAAAGGTTAATAAAGATTAGATAAGCAAAATCTAATCAACAATCGTGTTCTGAGAGCATGAGTACACATTACTGCAATGCACCGCTTAAATTGTACTCAATGCAGGGGAAGTAACTCGTGGAGAAAAATCAAAGTGTCCCGTTTATTAGTTTACTGTTATTATTCATCTATAGAAGAAACTGATTTATTTATGATTGTATTATTTTCACTCCTACAATTCACTTCGGGTTTAACATGGATTAACTTTCCCAATTAAAGAGCTATCGGACGGGACATAAATGGTGATCTGATAACCCAATCTCTACCCAGAGTTGTCGTACTTTACACTGTAACTTTAACAGCGAGTCTGGTTTTAAAACACATGTCCAGATACAAACTGCCCTGATCGTTTTTCCTGCATATAGCTATGGAAAGCTTATAATATATGATAACACAATCATTGGCGTCATAACATGTTGGAATAAGAGGAACAAACACCGCATATAGCAGGTACGTGTACTGTGCTGGTGGATAAATTCAACATCCTCAACTCGTTGTAGGCGAGCCGATCTAAACTATATATAATACTTCTAAGCATAACTACAAGAGCCGGAAGAGGGGTTTATCCTTGACTGAATATCGATCTCTGTGTAGGCGAACATATCCCGATTTGGATACTGTAACGTTATAGACCTGACCATACGGACTAAAGTTGTTAGGAACTATAAGAGGAAAAAAATATGTTATAAAGACGCACACTTTGGACGGTTTAATAATTTACTTGTATCAACGGACTTGACTGAATTTTTCCTAGATCCCGTGCACCAGACGATATACATCCAGGTATTTAGAAATAGCGGACGAATGCATTATCAGACCTAATGACAAACCATGGTTTAACTCTGACCTGAGATGTGGAATTAGAAAAAGAGACGGACTTCTCCATAGATATAAATCCAATCGCACTCCAAATAATTTGAACAATTTCTGGAAGCAGCAAAATAATGTAAATGATCTTAAAGAATAGCAAAAGAATTATTTTATGTGGACGTTAACGACCTATTAGACGATCACAATGAAACAAATCCCAGATTTTTTTGGGAAACTTGTCCGTAGGTTAATTAAATCATCTGACACCTCTAATAATATACCGCCTTTAAGGAGTGCGACAGGAAATATTGAAACGGAGATGACATTATTTAAGATTGACATACTCAATGACTATTTTGTTTCTATATCTACCATTGACGACACTGACGTACCGGTAATAGAACCCAGGACTGACTCGAATATCTCGGACATACCCTTTGATATCAACGACATTATTGACATTCTTAAGACTCTGAAAAGTCATAACATGCTTAAAGACACTGCTAGTACAGTAACGTATCCTCTATCGTTGAACTTTCGTTCTTCTTTGGAGACTGGGTCTTTCCCCAAACAATGGTTTAAAAAGGGAGATAAACAAGACCCCTCCAATTATAGACCCATTGCACTAACAAGTGCTATTGGTAAAGTTTTCGAAAGATAAGTTTCTCAATATTTACAAAACTACCTTTAGACAATTCTGTTATACATAAATATCAGTCAGGTTTCCAGTCAGGTCATTCCACTATACACCAACTTATTGAAATATACCATAACGTGTTTCGTGTCCATATTTAGATAGTTTCGTGTCCTTATTTAGATAGTTTCGTGTCCTTATTTATATAGTTTCGTGTCCTTATTTAGATGGATGGATTGAAGGATAGTTCGGTCTAGTAGATACGCCCCGAGTTTATTTTCCGGTTTTATTTACTTTTGGTTTCGTTTTGCTCACTTATACTCAAATTTCTAACAACTGTAATTATATAGAATGCGTGCAGGTAGTGTTTTGTATAGAATACATCTGTTTAGGAAATTCCCCAGACAAACACGTCATACTAGTTTCACTGGTGATAATATATGTTAGCCTGCTGGTATCTGTATCTTTAAAGAAACGTGTTAACCTGCTAGTTTTATTCAAAATTGCAAATATTTGAGGTTTAAGATGTTTTTTCTGATGGTGATTCTTTAAAATCCCGGACTGAAAATGTTTAATTATATTTACTTCAAGACTAGCATTTTAATAGTAGCATGTTTTAGCCTCGCTACATTACTTTTATTTTCAGAGCGTTATTTTGTTCCTTTTTTAAAAGAATCGTTTTTGCTGTATGTTTTTATTTTCAGCTGACTGACTTAAAAATATTCAATTGCAGGCTAGGCTTAATTTCATTGGTTCAGATTTTGGATAGATCTATAACTTAATTGACTGAACAACTTTCAAATAAAACGATTTGCTGAATTTTGCACACATTTTTCGGTTTATAACGTACAACCGCCAAACAATTATCGTTTTTTTAGACAGGATTCAATTCTCTTAAATGATATTATATTGATTTGGTTTTTAATATTGATATTGTTTGACTATGAACATTTCTTTGTTACCGTGACAGCTAACAAACAAGAGGGTTATCAAAGAATCAGTTTATCTCGATTGATTCAATAAATTCATAGCCCAAAATCTCAATGTCATGAAAATTGAAACTTAGTTCATATCAAGTACCAGGTACTCAAACTATTGTTCAAAGTAACAGTAATCTCTTCCTGTCACTATTTCCCTCTCGAGTTTACACAAGGATTACTCGAAACCTCTAGAGAACACGTGCGTGTCTGCCGTTCGGGTTATCTACGTTTTATCAGCATTTACAGCTTCACAAACTCACTTAGTCCTGGATCCAGGATCACAAAGCTCCTCCACCTATCAAAAATCAGATTGATTTAAAGGGCTATATATCCGCATACTTTAATTGAATCGGGAATATTTATGTAAAGAATTTACCTCTCGACTTGAAGTAGTACGCGTTTTGCAGAAATTCTAACCGGAACATTTGAGAAATTTGAAAATGTTTAGGTAAAGAACGCCATTTCATTAGAGCCAAGAAGTTACTTGATATCGGGGCCTGGCCATATACTATTATTAAGGGTAACGACGTTAATATATTCAAACCATCAATCAACCAAATGAAAGAAGCATAATTTTCTAAATACTTTGTATACAGTTTTAAGAATAAATAATTCAAAATGGATTCCCCAAGATTTCGGCAAATTCCCAATACTTCTAAACTGTCAATAGATATCAACAGATGAACAGATTGTGTCAGGTTTCAACTATTTTGTCACTGTACAGACACTTGTTGTAATGGACGAACCTAATTTACAATAGGTCTTAGCAGGCACAGGTCATAAGACGTATCGTAGAAGAATGTGTTTTTAATTTTAAGTCTAAACTTTCTTTTGGTATTAATGAACAAGGTTTTAGTATTGATAAACTAGGATGTATGAACGAATAACTAAAGTGTCTGGTAAGCTTTAATAGGCGGAGCGTCAATCTTACATTGTTCGTTCATTTTTAGATCATGCTTGTATGTACATGTATAAACTGTATGAACAATTGACACTTTTAATAAAATAAACTGTATTGTATTGTATTATCTGAGAAATCACATTTATGAGTTAAATCTCAGAATAATTCTAATAAATGTTAGTTTTGTCTTGATCCTTTTATAAAGATCATTATTTAGAGAAAAGCCTCAATGTTTTACTCTGCGTTTGATTTGCTATGTTTTATGGTGATTTACACTGTACAATTGTGTGTACAGTGACGCTCACTCACATTCTAAACAAAGGGTAGCCTCTTCCGTACAGCTTATAAAGAATCAATTGAGCTTGGACTTGATTATCATATCAAAACCTAATACGGTTGTCACATGCGACGGGGTGGGTGGCACATGTGATGGTGGAAACGCTATCCTTGTTCCTCCGTTCATTTTTTCTGTTAATACCCGGGTATTTTTTGATAGAGAGATAAACAAACATGAACTCGCCTATTGAAATTAAAACACATGCATTCTTGCAGTGAAGCTTATAAATGGCGACAAGATAAAACAATACAGATTATGTATTTTATATGCATTTTAACTGATATATGTGACAAAGATGGTACAGGCATGTTTGAACGGAATTTCTTGTATGCCTTTTACCATGGTCTCCATGGAGATGGCAGCGGAGAGATACTCTCGTTTAAACAAGTATCTTTACCCTCCTCCTTACGATCGTCAGGTACTGTGGTGGACTCCGACACAACACCAGAATGGGGGTTTTCCAAGTTACTTGGTGCGACTGTATCTATTTTAATATAACTTGGATTCATACTGACAGCATTAAGGTCAGCAGAATGGTTAAGGAAAGGCGGTGTCAGCTCAGCATGTTCACAAACGTTGCTGAAAGGCGGATACTGACTTGTAGTGAATGGCGGAATAGCTGAGGCAAGCACCTGGCAGGGTACAAACACGGTGACACTTTGAAGGCTGCCTACCATTGGATATATTGATGGTGTGCTGAACGAATCTACTGAAGGGTGTCCATTGACCATTTTGATCGAAGTTGAGGGTAATTCCACTTTGTCTTTTATCACGCCAATTGAATTAAGAGTAGTGGCAGAAGCGATTTGCCATTTGTTATCAACATATTGCTTGTCATTTGGTGAATTCCGGAGGTTGTGATTTAGTGTTTCTGCTGCAAGGCGTTCTTTGGAATTATAAGAAGTCGTTCCCAAATGCATTTCTTCTTCCGTAGCCATGCTATGTATGGCATGATCCGAACAATCAGACGGTGGAATCTTAGTTAAACCATTATGTGATTTTCCATCTGCATATACCGACCGCACATGTTTGTCCGACAATTTCGCGTTCTTTGAAATCATTTTTTGTGCAACAGTTTCTAATTCATTGAGTAAAGTATCACCGACAGATTGTTTGATGTCTGTACATTTGAGATATTTGGAGACTTGGTCAAGACATTCCCTGTATCCTCTTGCATAAAGTTTGGTTTGTAAGTCTCTGACGTCCAAAGATTCAAGTACAGCTGAAATTGTCAAAAATGTAAACAATTGAACACTTAAAAAATTACGTTTGTAAAATCTAGTCAAAAATGAATATTTCACATAGCATACATATCAAGGATACTAATTTAGATATACAAATATTTTAAAATAACATCGCTTAAACCCCAAAATCCCCTTTAAGGGTTTATGTCAAATGTAGCATTTTAAACTGTAAATAACTAAATATATTTTGTGATCTATTTATTACGTTTAACGCTTGCAAGCGCTTTGGACCTTGGAATTGTAGCTCATCGGAACTGTTTTTCATAGCGGCGGGATCAAAACTTGTCCCCCAATTTGATTTTGTTATCATAAGTAGATATATGCATATGAACAATTACTGCATTTATCACAAATTTAAATATTGACACATATGGGCAAAATAACACAAGATTGAATGACAAGGTTACCTTGTCAATATGAAAGACAAATGTCACAATTTATTTTTAATAATTCATTTTGGTGCCGATAAAAAATAAAATGACCATTTGGATGTGGAAAACATGACAAGCTGTAAATCTCCTTTGACAGGTTGTGATAAGTTTTAATAAATCTGAAATAATTGATACGTACAAAAAAAAGTAATTTTTGATTTTTTACTACAGGTATATTCCAAAATTATTTTTAACTTTTTCTCAAAAATCAAAAATTACATTTTTGTATGGATCAATTATTATTAAAAACACAAAGTTTATTTTCCAAGTTAGGAATGGGTGTATTTCAATTTTTTTTGTAACTATAATTTCCTGGTCCAATTATCCTTGTAGGTTCATCTACATTTGACAGGGGTTGACCACACAATCGAAGAAAATCTTTATGATAATACAAGTCCGTAAGTTATATGCTGTTAAACAAGCTTAGGGAGATGGAAAGTCAACAATAGAGTGAGTATTCTACAAAGGAAAATTGGTCACACATGAAAGGTTTCTTTTAAAGTGAAAATAATCAGCTTATCATAGTCAGTACCAGTTTGAGAAATGCACAAGACGTTCCACTCTCCGTCCAATAAGTGTTCAACATGCCAGGCACCAGCGGGGACTATGCACAAAATATACCCCTCCCCTAATACAAAATTTAGCTATTAGTGTTATTTACGTCCATGATTTGTTTATAATGATGTCTATTTAACAATTAACAGTACATACGATATGGCAGTTTTGCTTTTCTTTTGAGGAAGTCCACCGTGAGCTCAAGAATATCAGCTTTCTCCAACTTGGAGCTCCGCTGACCCTGTGAAAACAAATCAATTTACTTCGGCTCATAAATATGACAGATGCCTCAAAAGATAACAATTTGCAGTAGAAATAGCTCAAGTATTCTTAAGGTTGAATTTCAAGTTTAAATATGATATTTCTGTGGTTTTTATCTGATGAAATGATTATAATGTTAATCGACTTTTAAAATCCTAAGTAAGTATCATGTTTCACGTAACTATCAGGTTTCGTTCTCCTTTTAAGTAAGTCGAGAAAAGTTTAAAAACTGTTTATCTATCATAAATTATGAAACACACATAAATAAACACAGGTACTGCCTTAATGAACTTTACTTTACAATGTACAATGAATCTGTGAATATTTCTTTATCTCCAAACATGCCTGTTGATACATTTATTCAAGTTTTTTTTAAAATGTCCTTACAGTTTATCAAATTATTAGGTTGTGATTGTTATTTAAAAAGACACATATCAACTTTTCCGATTTAAAAAATTATGAAAATATAATTTATTTTAATCTAGTTTTGTTAATCACGGAAGTATTAAAACTTGCTGCAACTCCAGTAAGTACGTCATACCCAGAGTAGCAAGTACAGTACCACATACCTTAAGGAAATCTTTTTCAATGACAAGTTTTTTTAGTTCTCCAAGACAGTTATTGATCCTGGCACGTCGCTTCTTCTCTATCAAATGCTTGGGAACCTAGACATGGTCGAGAGAAAACAGTAATTACTTTGGTATAGCACAACTCTTGTATTATCGTAAGCAATACAGCTTATTGATATTACATTACATGTATTATGCACAATACAATGGCGTACAAAGTCTAGTTCAACCCATACACTAATAAATATATTCACTCATTTTAAAGACAAGAGGTGTGACCTAATTTCAAAAGCTTTACACAAACTTTTTCCAAAATTATACAGTTCTGTATAGTAATTAAATGGGATGATTCCCTATTCGGCTGGCGTATTCAATATAGCATTGAAGGAAGATACCATAATTGGTTGGATGTAACAATCCTATCGGAAGATCTGTTGTTACATATGATAAAGGGCCAACCATGCAATAACTGGGTACATTTGAAAAATGTGTACTTTACACAATGACCGTGGAAATGTAGAAGCGAGGTAATGTAAGTAAAATATTTCTCATTAGATGTCAGAAGAATAGAAAAAAAGATATCATAGTAACAAAAACAATATATAAAAATTTATAAAATACCTTTCTCAGTTCTTGTTGTCTTTTCCTATCAACTTGTTTCAGTTAGAAATTTACTCTTGTGTGTATCCACTGCGATCTATATACATCTATATTTATTACACTCTATCGTGAAATGGTTTAAGATGTTATTCTTGTGTAATTAAGTTGTGGTATGCTTTCATGTTTTAACATGAACTCAACTTTAACACACACAAAAACAAAAACAAAAAATATAAAATACCGCACATATGGCAACGGCAATCCAATAAATTTAGAAAAAATGAAAACGTCCTTTATAGCATTTTTTTTCAACAACGTTAGGTTCCTTTGGCAAATTAAACATTATTAAATCTGATTTACGAGAAGTCATTTTATATCTTGATTCCCTTTTTCACTTGCCGTTCAATCAAAACGACGTGGTTAAAAACGTGATAATTTTATTCATATAAACGACAAAACAAACATGTTTGAATAATAATAAAAATTCAAACGCTCTTTTCCTTTTATAAGTGATTATCCGAAATCAATATATTCTATAATTTTTGTTATATTAATAATTGATCGGCGGCCCTAGGTCCTACACACATATCTTACCTTTACTTTCTCTGGTAAAACTTCATTTCCTTCGGAATCGGTTGAATCCATTTTCGACGTTTAATAATATAGCAACTTTTAAACTAATAATACTAGACTTTGATCAAGGAAACGCCAAGTCTGATCATGTGAGGGTCTGCGATCATTAATGTCAGGACGAAAGAGACACGGACGTGTGGATTGGGCGAGCGAGCAGACGACACGTCGCGTGCCCGTCCCGCGACGGAGATTCCGTGACGTTTAATCGGAGACAAGTGCGGACACCCGAGGTGAAATGTACCTTATATTACCGTGTCAGTCAAAATTATCGATGTTATCAAATCCAGGGGGGAGTTAACCCCTGAACTATGCCGGGGTTATCTACATTTTCAATTCAGTGTTGTATTTTTATCCGGATTGATGGGTTTCGAAGTCACATTACATACCAGACATGAAGGTTTGTTCATAGATGAACTTGCTGCAGATTGATATAGGACATGGTAGTGTAAACAGCGACATATAAGATTTTTCCGAAAGATGAAATAGAAAAAAAAAAACTTTTTTGGAATTTTGAGGATGGTAAAAATTAATCAAACGATTGTTTAAGGTTTTTTTAAATCCACATTTTGTTTAATTTCATTTCTGGAGTACACAGTGTCACAATACCACTGTAATCCTGATTTACGGGTACAAAGAATAGTAGTAAGGTATTTGGATAACGGTTGGGTTAATCATCTGGCAGAGCCAGCGATAAGGCGTCGTTTATGACGATTTTTATGAAGTTTAGGAATAAAAAAGGCAAGTGCATTCCATCTTATTAATCAATTATCGGAAAGATTGCACTACAGAAGTGTGATTAACCAGAATATCGTCTTTTGAAAAAACAGGTAGGTGTCTTAGGTTAGAAGAAAGATTAATTTGTTGGTGTTTTTGTTTTGATTTTTCTCCAGCAGGGAATGTAAAACAGAATGTTTACAGACAAGGATGAAAATGTTACATGCTTTGTCTGCTGACACAACCTCTTAATACAGATCGTTGAGTATGGTTTGGACATTTAAACAAATTTGAAAGTGAATCCAATTCAGCATGCTCTAGTTTTGTCCATTGCCTAGCAGTCTTCCACGGAATCTATCAGTATCTTAAAATTCTCATTCTAGTCAACAGTAGGACTATCTAGGTACTTTGGAACCTTCATGAAAAGTGTTTGAAGCTTTTGCACTATGGATAAATATTAAGATAGTCAGTTACTACGTGGCCATGTGGATGATACAGAACAAGAACAAACTGAAAAAGGAACTATTTTAATTCTTCATACTTCCGAAGAAATTGTGAAAATGAAGTCCGGTAAATGAGAAAATTTCAATGTAAAAAGGGTAGATCCATGAAATAGTATAGAGTGAATCAGGAATATTTCCGGAAAATGCGCTTTACATTTCGGCGGGGACACTTGACTCGTATGGCCAAACAGTGATATATATACCGTTGACTTTATCGGCACATTCGTCTCGTAAATTTTGTTCAAGCCATCAGGGGTATCCGGGGTCGGCTCAAGTTGTTTGGTTTATAGCCCGAAATCCTCCAAAACCCGTGTCCGCTTTCTTTTATCAATGTATGAAAAGTGAAACCGATTTTAGTGTATACTTCTCAAATAGGGCATATATCATATCTTAAGGTGTTTTATGAGAAGTGTTTTTCTCCAATTTCCCACAAACTGCGAGACGTATCACCAATATAGTATAAATGTGTCAAGTATCGAGTACCTCTATCAGGTTCACGTGTAATTTTTAGGCTTTCGGCACGAATACAAACACCAGAATCGCACACCTGTGTAAACTGTTCACTTCGATTTATTATTTTGGCTCAGCAATTCAATAATTTGATGTTGTGAAAATGTAAGCCTCGGCTAAGTTCTAACGTCACCATGCTAAATAGAAACAGAATGCTATACAGCGAATTACATTGACGACGAAACAATGGTACTAGCTACCTACGGGGCAGGAAATGCTCATCCTACACAAACGTTACTGATGTAAACACATACCCTGTATTTTTCAGTCTTGTCTATATTTCTTATATTTACAATAAAAGGAAACGGAAAAGTTGTTTATTTGCATATATTCAATTATTTAAGACATCATAGTTATTAACAAAAATTGTTTTGGTTGTAAATTAAAATCAATTTTAAAGCTTAAAAATACAAACTGTATTTGTAGAAGACCAATCTGACGTTGACGTGCTATCTTCCATGGGTTTAGAGTGAGAGATGAACCTTGACCCCAGATGACAACCCTCTTGTAGCGACAGGGAACCTTGCTATCTCGTCGTGTCACATTGGAATGTGGAAGTACGTGCGCTTTTGAATCATCACCGGGTAGGAAAACCAGGTAGGACACAACGAAAGTCTTACATTACAAAAAAAAAAAAAAAAGAGAAATAGGTCCATATGATTATTAACAATCCAGTGATTTCCTAATTCACTTTTGAAAGGATCATAGCAGTGTGCTGTTTTTGAATTTTGAATAAAGCGACGTGTTATGGGAAATAAATATATATGTAGTAAAGTACATTAAACCGTAGTATGGTAAGAACGTATCGTGGTGTTGATAAACAACCTAGGGACAACTCTATCTGTGATTGACCAGCTGCAGGTGTTTAACATCATTAACCTAACGTTTATTCATTGTTGTTTAACGCATATATCCGATTGTATTGCAACAGTTCAATCACCCATACGGATCATAATTATTGTTATTACATTCTTAACGGCCCAACAACACCGAAGAGGTCATAATAGCCAATAGATAGACGATAAAACATGTCAAAGGAAATGACATAAAACAAACGAAAAGTTAACGACAACCGTCAACTTGAGAGGTAAATGTGGCTAGGATTAGTTATATCTTTTAGAACAGCTTTCATGTAGTTTAGAACAGTAGTAACACCTGTTTCGAAAAGAGAGTTGAGATTTGCTATACTATTATATATATTTTTTTCTCGTGTTAGCTGAAAGTTGAGTTAGCATAAGTTAACGGTTAAAAACCTTTTCATTACCAGAGAACATTTTAAACAAACAAGATTTTATATCGAACAGGGTAACTATTTCACAATTAGGCATCTTTAAATAACAAAATATTACAAATTACAATTCCTCGCACCTGCAACAAAATTTTGCTGTCAAACAAATACGCAATGGAAATAAGATAAAGCACACGGGAACATTGCCAGTCGAGTTGAGGACATCAGCCTTTGCTTATATTATTAATTAGCTGGTGATTAGTTGTATTTATATACCGTACATCTACAGAAACTGGCCTTGATGTGGAATGCAAAACGCTAAAAAAGGAACTTCGAAATATCATGATACTTGCATGAATTTCATGGAAATCTGACCTTAAATGAAGATGTTTAATGATTACATCACTGTGCAATGATTTTTATATTAATAGTAACGGCAAAGTTCCATGTGGAAATATAATGAAGAAAATATTCAAGCTGCCGTCATTTTCAATTTTCATTGAAAGACAACAATTGGGGATGCTCAAGGTGTATGTCACTTCACACTAGACAAAGGGAATGCTATGTATTCCCTCCCAAATTTCATAACAGACTATTGGGCCTGTATCACTTACCTTGTAATTATGTGACCGTTATAAAATATCAAAATCAAATGAATTTAAAGTAAATTGTTAACCCAGTCGTCCACTACTTCAGCATGCTATTTGACTCCTGTGACCTTGAAAGTTGGTCAATGTCATTGCTCTGAACAAAATGGTAAGCCGTCAACCCTACCAGCCAAATACCATGACCACATAGGCCTCTTGATTATACAAAGAAGCCTTATAAAATGTTTAACAAGAAATCCACAGGAGTGGATGTGTCTCCTGCTCAGTGCTTTAGTAAGAAAAGTGTTTTGGCTTGAGTTATTGCGTAAACAGATTTGCCAAAACGCGGAAAGTTGAAATTCGACAGAAAAAACCCGTAATATATGTTAGCATAACCGTACAAAAGGTAGGGTCAACGCCTATGGAGATTTAACATTAGCGTCGGCCCCCGCTTGGAATTTAAAAACAAGATAACTAAAAAAAGGTATGGGTATAGGAAGCTTAATTAAGGAACCGTTAGTTTCAGAATTCAATTTTGGATAAATGGGACCTCATTGACTTACACCTCTGTGGGTGTTAAAGAGGTGCGTTAACACAATTTCTCCTAGAGCATTTAAATAAAATAATTATTATAAAATTATATCATCATCGTGTCCAACATATTCCAACTTTCATTTTGATACCTAATATTACATTATTTCAAGAAAGAATTGTTCTTTTTATTGAAGATTTAAGCAGAAAAGTATGTGAAATTTCATTAATAGTGAGAAAATTTCCATTTTCGACACGTTAATTTACATAGTTCTAAAAACAGTCTATATTTCATATTTCATAAGTTGGCTACCAATAATATCTTTCAACATCAGGAATTTCAAGAAAATTGACAACCAGTAAATTTGTCATATAACACTTTCCATTTTCCCTTTAACTTGTGTTTCTTCATGACATAAAGTCCTTTGGTCTTGATATTTGGCAAGTAGGTTGTTCATGTGAATTGATTAAAATTTAGTAAACGTTGATGACCTTGATCTTAGCTCAAGGTTACAAAAATCAAATGTGCTGAAATAATTGTTTGTATGGGGAGGCAGACAAGGATACCTTTCCTTGCTTTTTTTGTTTAGAGTTAACAATATAAAATAATGTAATATTCCTCCATATTTTGTTTAAAGAATGGGCAATAGGCCAAATAAAATAATAACTAGAGCTGTAAGCTAAAGACTAACTAATCCCCCCACTCCTATATAACCCAGAATGTAAGCTAAAGGCTAACTAAGGCAAAGAATTGAAAAGCAATACATAGTTCACACCCCCCCCCTCCTCCCCCCCCCCTCCTGTAATATTTAAGAATAGATGTCACTGACAGTACTTCCTGTACTCCCTCCCCATGCCAAAACATACTTCCATACCAAATATTGTTAGCCCCGATGAACAAGTTTTGCTTAAGTCATCCTAGTAGTAAAGGAAGAGTTGTCAAGACAATTTTTTTAACAAAGGGCCATAACTCCTTAAAAAGGGTCGAAATAAAAAAGTACTACCCTGATGCACTAAATCAGGGGGTAATTACCATATCTGTAAACATTCATAGAAATCCGCCCAGTAGTTTATGAGACAAAGGTTCTTTTTCTATAAAGGGCCATAATTCCCTTTTAAAAGGTCCGGAATGAAACATACTATTTGGATGCACTATGTCAGGGGGCAGTTACCATATCTGTAAAGTTTCGTTGACATTGGCTGCATAGTTCTGGAGGAGTTGTCAGGACAAGTGACTTTTCAACAAAGGGCCATTACTCCGTTAAAAAGGGTCATATTGAAAACGAAATACCTGGATGCACACCAGTAGGTGGAAGTTATTATATCTGAAAACTTTCTTTGAAATTGACCCCTTAGTTTTGGAGGATATGTCTGGACAAAAAAAATTCATCAAAGGGCCATAACTTTGTAAAAAAGGATCAGAATGAAAACATTATACCTGTATGCATAACTTGAGGTGGTAGTTATCATATCTGGAAACTATCGCTGAAATTGGTCCGTTACTTTAGAAGGAGTTGTCCGGACAATCTTTTTTCTACGGACATACAGACAGACAGACAGACAGACAGACAGACAGACAGACAGACAGACAGACAGACAGACAGACATACAGACAGACAGACAGACAGACAGACAAGCTGATCCCAGTATACCCTCTAACTTTGTTGCAGGGGGTATAATAAAGTGTATAATAATTTTACTACATGTATTAAGATTATTTGATTATTTTTATATAATTGCATATCGTTGTCTATAACACAATCTCAACCTTAAGTAGTTCTCCAGAAGAAAGATTACTTTGGCGGAATTTATATTCGTGAGTTATAACTGCTGCACATAACTTTAAAACATGCGTAATATAATATAGTGTTTTGGTATGATACAAAAACAGAAAATTATCGGTTTTTACCATAATAAACATTGATAATCAAATCTTCAAGATTATATGAAATTGGGCATTGATCATGTTTGGCATGCTAATTAAGTACTTTACCGGTTTTTATATTGCATCAAAATGATTCAGTAGACGAAATACATATATGGAAAGATTTTAAAGAAGTTTAAAATATAGACTACAACTGTAACTATATATAGGCAAGTTCACAATGTTGATTATATTTTAAATTTTGTGAAAATTTTGCTTGTTTTCTAAATAAAAGTATCACTACGCTTACTTCATATATACCAATATGACATATTTAGCATCAAAATAACAGTAACTTCATACACTGTACACTATCTTAATTCATTTTCAAAATAGCATTCGCCTGTTACATTTATCTATCATTTTGTTAGGGTACCCCCATTACTCAACCTGGTGTTATGCAAGGAGGTCCACTACGGTTTTCAGTAGTAATTATGAATAATTATTTATGCAGTTATTGATCATTTTTATGTATCTACATATGGCGAAAGAATAAAAGAAATCAAAGTGGGGGCCAAATGTTGACCCCACCTTTGAAAGGAATTGATTAAAAAGAAAAAAAGTGAATAAAAGGGGCATAACTCCACCAGAAATGCACGAAAACTTCTGAAATGCGCACCTGTTCGAACTATATTGGTATGCAATATGTGTACCAAGTTTGAGTTCAATCAACCCAGGGGAACTCAAGTTATGGCACGGAAACCTTGTTCAGACGACGCAACCGACGACGCCGACAAAGTAATACCAATGTGTCGCCGTCGACGGCAACACATCAATTGACTCATGGGATCATAAAACCAAGTCAAGGTTATTAATTTGAAAAAAACAATAGGCACCTGTTTCTTTTGTTACATGAAACTGACATATAGGTCATTTCAGACCAAACAAGATATTGTTGTTTGAAATTTATAATTGTAATTTTAAAGCTTTTAACCCACGTTGACCTTTGACTCCGACTAGCACTTAGAGTTGACATTTGACCTCATTACTGTTATAATGAAAAAGATTCGCACTGCTGGTCTACATAACATACCCAAGTATCATGACCCTAGACCAAATGCTTCTTAGGATATCGTTGTTCGATTATTTTTTTACATTGTTGACCCCTGTGACCTTGAAACAAGGTCAATGTCAATTTAAAGAGGAAACTTTATAGCACTCTATCCCATGGACCTACTGGCCAAATATCATGACTCTGGGCTTTATTGAACTTGAGAAGAAGATTGTAAAAGCTTTTAACCCATGTTGACTTTTGACCCCAAACTAGCACTTAAAGTTGACCTTTGACCTCATTACTGTAATATAGAAAAAGATTTGCACTGCTGATCTACACAATATACCAAAGTATCATGACTCTAGTCCAAATGGTTCTTAGGATATTGTTGTTTAAAGTTTTTAACATATTTGACCCCTGTGACCTTGAAACTAGGTCAAGGTCATTTTAATGAGGAAACTTTATAGCACTCTCTCCCATGTACCTACTGGCCTAATATCATGACCCTGGGCATTATGGAACTTGAAAAGAAGATTGTTTAAGCTTTTCACCCATGTTGACATTTGACCCTGACTAGCACTTAAAACTTGACCTTGACCTCATTACTGTTATTAAGAAAAGGATTTGCACTGCTGATCTACATAATATACTTAAGTATCATGACTCTAGTCCAAATGGTTCTTAGGATATTGTTGTTTGAAGCTTTTAACATATTTGACCCCTGTGACCTTGAAAGTAGGTCAAGGTCATTTTAATGAGGAGACTTTATAGCATTCGATCCCATGTACCTACTGGCCAAATATCATGACCAGAGGTTCTCCAGTTCTTCAGAAGAAGTTGTTTAAAAGGAAAAGTTGACGGACGGACGATGGACGACAGACGGACGCCGCAGTATGCATAAGCTCACATGGCCCTTTGGGCCAGGTGAGCTAAAAATGATAGAACCTCATCCCATCATGCTACAGTCCAAACTATCATGATCCTTAAGGACTCTTTGTTATTCAGCAGAACTTGTTAGTTTTTAAGAAATATTACCCATGTGACATTAAAAACATTGCAACGTCACTTATTTGAACAAACATATAGTTCTTCATTACAGCAAGCTACAGGCCAGATATCTAGACAGAAGGCCTATAAGTTATTCAAAAGATTTTAAAAGGTTTTAAACATTGTCACATTTAAACCTTATTGTGACCCGCAAAGTAATTATTAACTAATAATTGTGCTAAACTATGAAGTTATTCATTTGAGTAAAAGGTACCAATGTACAAGTTATAATACAGAAGACAAATTCGATTTTAGATCTGTTTTATAGACTTTGTGTATTTGGCTTTGTTAATAGAAGATAATATTTTGTTCGAGGTAAGAGTTACTTCCCTTGGCAAGAAATTTATCTTCATTATAATGCTGTGCACTAAATAACTCTGGGAATCACACGTTGTTAAAGTGTGGGAGTGGATACTATATTTTTGTAAAATGCATCACAAAAGGTGTTTTATATGGTATACACCTGCAGAAAAAATATTTTAGAATACTGCAAAAGGTAAAAATATTTCTTGATTTGATGGCACTCGATCTTTACCTCATTTGTTCACAGGTGGTCGGGTTCCAGAATATATGCGATATATTATCGCACCCCACTAGATATCGCATCCCCTTATTAAAGTATTATAAAGGGGGTGCGATATCTAGTGGGTTGCGATAATATATCACATATATTGTAGAACCCGAGCTCCTGTGCATTTGTTATCCAGATGAAATGCAAGGGAAAACAAGAACACATGAATACAAAACTCAAATTTTATTTTTAGACTTGTAGGATTTACATATACTCCATTTATCAACAATGCCAGACATGACAGAAACTGTTATTCTTGCATAGTCTATCTAGCACCACACAGAAACAAATTAAATGAGTATTTCCAGAAAAGCTAACCATCTGAGTGAAATAACATAGTAAATACAGGTGACATGGAGCACATAGATGTAGTGGCTGAACAAGACCTGTTGGGAAGGGAGATAACTCCCATCCGATGGTTGACACCACATACATTGATGAGATTAGGCTTTACATGGAAGATCAGTTGTGATGCATGTGATGTAAAAATGAAAACTTAATTTCTTTCCAAAATTTTCTATGTACAATTATTTTAACAATTTTTAACAAAATTCATTTGGATCCTACGGTATAACCAATTCTGCCATCATATCTCACCGCAGGCTTTTTACATAGAGGCTGGTGTGATGTGATAGATAATAAAATGTATAAAAATATTCCTGAGGAACTGATTTTCCAAGAAAAGCCCAATCTTAACGTACCACGTAAAATGACAGACTGTAGTCACTATGGCGGTGAGCAATACTGAGGTATCGAGTTAGTACTCAATTTCATAGACTGGCCGTATACTCAACATGTACAAAGGACAAGGACTGTCTTCTTTCTTCCCTTTGTTATCAATTTTTGGATATTTTATTCTATATTGAATATATAAGTTTCTTTGTTATCATAAATAACCTGAAGCAAAACATTTTACCCACTAATAGTTGTTTTAATTAATCAAGAATTTGGTATTGAGGTTACCCTATGACCATCACAGTTGCTTACCTGTCTGGTACTAAACGTTATAGTGACCAAGATTATCAATACACAACCATTGTATTAACTAAGAATATCAATACACAAACATTGTATTGACCAAGACTTTTAATATCCAAACATAAAAGTGATCAAGACTATTAAAACCTTCACATTAAAAGTGACCAAAATTATCAATACTTATACAGTATAAGCAACAATAGATCTTGTCCATTCATACATGTACTTATTAATGGCACTTAGGTGACACAGACTTTGATCTACGGACAATGCAATCAATTAAAAAAGTACTTTGTAACTGTTTGTACCTTGGAAGACATAGTAAGGCATTTACCGGTATTAAAAATATCATAAAAATACTTTAAAACCTAAAACTTTTTTGGTTGTTGATCTTTCACTTTCCTTCAAATGTAGTCCACAATGACTATCTTTTATGCAAGAAAAACTTCCAATACCAAAAAGGCTGTTCTGTTAATATTCTAATAGAGTAGGTTTAATATAAATATAATACAATATTCAAAGTTTTACTACATAGGAAGTGTTAGAAGAAAATAACACCAGATCTTATGGAGAGATTAATCACTATACTTCATACTAAAGGAATCCCATCTGGATTATAACAATGCTTAAACTAACAACATTAGAGCCTGAGGAAAAAGCTATTTGATTAGCCAATATGGATTTAAGAAGGGGGAAATGCACAGCTGCAAGTAAAAGATATAAAAATATAGGACAACAAATTAAAGATCTACAGAAAGGTTATAATGAAACATAGAGCAAAAGGGTTTTTCTTCTATTAGTTCTAGGAATGGTAGATGTTATAAAATAGTGGATACCATGGAAATCCTAAGCAGAGAGGTTGATAAGGCAACACATTTCACTTGCCTTGAAATGCTCGAAGGACATAAGTGCCGGTAAAAAAATCCCCCCCACCCACCAACATTCAAAATGGCCAAATATATAGTACAATATCTAGGCCAGGCAAATTAAAACTTGTCACAATCTTTGTTAAAAAGGTACTAAATCTAACATGTGAGATTTACAATAAAAGAAAACACTTTTGTAACGTAATCCTCGGATACTGTCAGTTGGATCTTTGTTTCCGTTTTAGATTATTTACTTACAATAATTTTCCACACATGCATCCACACACTTCATGAGAGATTCACACTATTGAGATACACTAACATGACCTTCGACCCAGAGTTAGACTTAAATTTTCTGTAACCTATCTAGGTCTCGTAACTCCAGTGTAATTTAAGCGTAGATAGCTAACACATCATATACCTAACATTTCTGAAAATTTGCAGCAATGTACGTGATGAACTATAGTCAGCCTGAATAAGCCTGAATAAGCATAAGAACATAGCGATAAAAATGTTACATATATATATACGCACATGATTAATATAAAAGAATGTAAAAAGCATCAGTCTATATATAAGGGTGACTACCGGTTTATCAAAACGTAAAATATTTCATGGAAAAATGAATTTAATTTAAAATACATACAAGGTTTTATAAGTCATTGTTGCAGCATTAAGCTTTATATATATAAGTTGTACTAGTAAATGGATTTACGGTTTATGTATGTGTAAATTAAAGCAGAGCTTAAACAGTGCTAAATCATACATAGTTTCAAAATGAAAGTTGATTACACTCTCCACACAAACTATTATTAATGTTTTGTTGGTACAAGTGAATGGCAGAAATAACTTCCCCAACAAACTGCAACCATATCTAGATTCCAGTTCACATTTATCTTTGATATATATTTATATATATACAGATAATGTATATAATTACGTATGTGAGAAATAGATTGCTATATATATACCTCTTGTTCATATGGGTATATGGAGAGGAGTTGAAAATAACCCCCCTACCTGTATATATTTACATAAATATACAATCAACAATTTCATGTTTTATTTTAAAAATACTAACATGTAAATCTTGCTACAGTAATGTAACCGGTCATTCAAACATCATGTAGAAATTTCTACCCAGTAAAAATTAATCAAAGCATGGCACATATGATTGGAATTGCATATATTAAATATTTGTGTCTCTATGGTAACGAGACAGCTTGTGTTCAAACCATATTACTGCAATTCAATGCCAAATCATATGCAATCTTTTAATGTCCCAATTAATGAGTTAATTTTCTTCAATTACAAGACATCACATTATGCCCGCCCACAGTATCTTCTGGAATTGAGAGTGCTCTCCCCTCCTGCAATTTGATTTCTAATATACATCCTCTGAAGTTATCCTGGTATCTACCGGCTGTCATTGATGATGGATCAGGTACACCACCTGTGTTTGTACATAAATAAATCATCAGTTTTATAACAATTATCTACATACCATACCTTTTATTTCTACATCACAGTTGTTTTTACATATTTTTTCCATATACATTCACCTCTGTGTATAAAAAATTATTTAAGATCATTTGTTTCTTTTTCAACGTTTCCATTACATTATACAATAGTTCGATCCATAGAAACTATTATCATATACAAATGTACTTATTTAATATTATTTTGTATTTCTCCCCTGAAATCACCTTGCTTACACATAACTTTCACAATAAAACATCTTCAACGTGAATAAATCAGTACAGTCAATATTTCCACTACATGCTTTTCATGTTCATTTTCTCCAGTAATGATTACTTACCAACATAAATGTTCCCATTTACGTTCAACATTTGTAAATATCCCAAAGACGAACCGGTTTCTTTTGGTCCCCCATCAATAGCTAATGTGCCTGTTTTTCCAAGTCTATGAAAACAAAGAGAACATTTTACTCTATAAGATTTTTATTATTTTATGAAAGAAGCATATTGAGGAGGAGGTAATGTTGCCTAAGTAAAAAAACATCAGTTGACAAACAAATCTTTCACATTGAATTATGAAACTGGCCTTGACCCTATCTATGTCAATGTAACTAGACTTATAACCTCATGACCTTGTATCACGAACAATGCTACAATTATCTACCTGGTGACTTTGACATTATAACAATATCACTATCATTGGCATTGTGAACTTGATCCTATGACATTTTAAATATAGATGATGTCTTTGTCATAAATAGAGTTGAACTTATGACCTTGCTCCTATGTCAGCTTACCTTGTGACCTTGATCCTGTGTACCTGTCCATCATTCACCGGGAGAGACGACCTCATGTTGGCTGCTCCACTTCCTAACTCATAGCTACAATATACAAACAGAACTTTGTAGCTACTACACATAAACACACACTAGGCCAGCAAATAATTGTCATGTCTCCTTTCTCAGCTCTCAAAAAAACAGACCGACCTTTTTTTACACTAATTTAGGAATGGGGTCAATCGTTTGGAACTGAAGAAAAAAGGTTCAAGAGGGATCTTGGCACCCACCATCATAAAATCTTTTTATGTCACTTTGATCTTAATCAACATGGAGTTTTTCGCACAGACAGACAGACATGTAGACACACACACACACACAGACACACACAGACATGATGATTCCAGTATCCTAAAGAAGAATCACTTTAAATTATTCATTTCTTTCAGCGGGGGAGATTATTTATGACTATCAAATTCTGTATAAAGAATTTTACGTATTTGGATATTAAGGGAAAAAAAAAATATGTTCAACAAGAAGGTTTTATCTCACTGGCTATTCTTACACTTTAGTTTTACCTGTATTTACATATTACCTGTAGGTTACATACTACCTGTAGGTTACATATTACCTGTATTTACATATTATTTACATATTACCTGTATTTACATATTACCTGTATTTACTTATTACCTGTATAGTAGGTTTACATATTACCTGTAGGTTACATATTACACTTTGGTTTACATATTACCTGTAGGTTTACATATTACACTTTGGTTTACATATTACCTGTATAGTCACTTTGGTTTACATATTACCTGTAGGTTTACATATCACACATTGGTTTACATATTACCTGTATTTACATATTACCTGTATAGTAGGTTTACATATCACACTTTGGTTTACATATTACTTGTATAGTAGGTTTACATATTACCTGTAGTAGATATATCCATCACGAAGTCCAATCATCATAAAGTCACCGGTAGAGACAGACTGACCAGGAGCGGCCTCTCCTTGCCAGAATATCAAGCCGTTGGTTTGGTTGGTGCGAATAGCCAACTCAACCACTTTCTCTACCTGATTCTGAGTGTAGGGGAATAGGTCACGGCTCAGCTCAACAAATCCTTCACCCTCCAGGCGGATAGGGCCGGAGTAGGTCACCACTATAAAACATGGCATTCACTTACTGGAAATTCATCAACAATGTTTACTATTTATCACTTGGATCCTGGCTGTAACATCTATTTATTGTGTAGTCACAGTGGTGAACTATCTAGCAGTTTGTTACTGGCTTAACCCTTTCACCACTGTAGATCATAATTCACTCTTCTAGATCAATACATGGAAGAGACTACTTTAGTTACATAGGGGTAAAAGGATTAACAAGTAGGAATTTTCCTTTAGCTCTGTCTAATTTATAGAGCACTGGACAAGAAATCTTCAGCACTGAGTTTGACTCTAGGAAAAAGTTATTTTGGCTACATTAGTTTCATTTTCATTTTAGTTTTCTGTTTTCCTCACCAAATGCAAGGATTAATTAATATTCCAGGATAGATAGATACCAGCTAAACCATATTAAATATGTCAAGGCATATGAAAAATTAAACCATTACAATGAATTATTATAGACATTTCATTAGGTTTTTTTATGAAATAAATTTCTCATAGATGTGCTCACCTAGTTCACAGTTGTCTCCCATGAATCCTAGAGGGCAGTCACATCGATAGCCATCGTCTGTGAAGCTGCAGATTCCACTGTTCTGACATGGTGCCCGGGTATTACAAATATTGATCCTCATTTCACAGTGGGTGCCTTAGAACAAAGAAAAGCAACTTTTACATAATACTCATCTAACCAAACCACAAGAAAAGGGATTTGTAATATACTAATTGTGTCAAGAATTCCTGATTTAAAATGCACAACTAATTCTGATAGCTGTAAAACCTATCCTATCTCATAGAAATTTTAAGGAAAGTAAAAAGCAATTATTGGGAAAAATAGTTGATGGCTTGATGGCATCCATACCATAATATGACTTGCTGAAAAGAGCACAAAACATGTTTATTTCTATGATCCTGAACAGGAGTAAAGTTAGATATTCCCCTATACTGTTGTTATCTTGGCATACCTGTTTATCTTAATTGTATCCATAGCATTAGGTGACCGTCAGAAAGCTACCAGATGATCAACATGTAAACTAAAACCTGTAAGTTGATAACCGTTATGTAACCTAATGTCTCACCTGTAAGTTTATAACCGTTATGTAACCTAATGTCTCACCTGTAAGTTTATAACCGTTATGTAACCTAATGTCTCACCTGTAAGTTGATAACCGTTATGTAACCCAATATCTCACCTGTAAGTTGATAACCGTTATGTAACCTAATGTCTCACCTGTAAGTTGATAACCGTTGTGTAACCCAATGTCTCACATGTAAGTTGATAACCGTTATGTAACATAATGTCTCACCTGTAAGTTGATAACCGTTATGTAACCTAATGTCTCACTTGTAAGTTGATAACCGTTATGTAACCTAATGTCTCACCTGTAAGTTGATAACCATTGTGTAATCCAATGTCTCACCTGTAAGTTGATAACCGTTATGTAACCTAGTGTCTCACCTGTAAAGCTTTCTGGACAGTTACATCGATAGTCATTGATGGCGAGACTTTCACAAGCTCCCCCGTTGAGACAGGGACGACGGTTACAGATGTTGCGGTCGGTACAGTCACGAATGTCCATGCTTTGAACAGCGTCACGGATCAGGTTGATTGCCACCATGTTAACGGTCAGCTGTGAAATCAAGATAAAAGAATATCAAAACAATCCACGGAGGTCTTTAATACATTTATATATATCAAATACCCAAGGAAATGTAAAATCAGTATTATTACACTGACCAAATAAACCACATGACAGGACATAGCCTTGTATTTCTGAATTTTGTTGAGGATTTTCCTTCATGTCGGTGATGCTTATTTAAGATGTTTTGTAAAACAACTTTCAATTTCTGGTGTCATCAACATTCCTTTGTGAAGTTTGCATTTTTTTCTTCACTTAGTAATGCTTTCCCTCTTAATGGCAAATAAAAGTTACGATAATCATTAACTAGATGTTTTCAGAAAATGAAACCTGGTGTCAAAAAGATTTGAATATTTTAATGGCAACTTTTCAGCAACAAGTGTAAGCATTGAAATGTAATTTCTAGTAATGTTGATTATCAATTATCACAAGACATTCCTGAATATGACAGAAAGGCTTGTGTTCAAACAAGGGCTTTTCACCTATTAGTATTATAACATGTACATTTGTATATTCCTCAAGATCTAAAGCTGTGTGTCAGTGTGAGCTGCATATTACCTCTGCTATACAGCCCTGGAAGCCAGATGAGACCTGGACTCCAGAGGGGATGATTACAGACGGTTCTACGCCTCCAAGGTAAAGTTTGGTGCGAAGGTCAAGGCCAACAGTGTTACCAGGTGAAGTGGCTACAACAAAGAGGAGACAACTACTGTCAAAACCAACATTATGCTGTGTTTTTGATATTACTGCATTACTTCTTGATGTTTCAACACAACTCTTAATCAAATGTGTCAACAGCAAAAAGCAGACACAACATGGCAAAAGGGTATTGTCCATTTTATAAAATACATATACCAATAAGCATTAAGCATTTGATTTCAAAATCAAGTCATACTCATATCATAAATGTTAATGCAAAGTTATAAGCTTACATAATTCAATTGAAACTGTGTTTGATACTTACTCCATTCTGAAGAAAGCAATTAAGCTATACATAAGCAAATATTTACCTGAGTATACTTAATTCATATGAAGATATTGATAGTGTATTTAAATAGCTTTAACTGATATTATCCAAAAACTCAACCGCAAAAATAAGGATTCACCAAAATTAACTGATTTACAGAAAATATAACCTTGGCAACAGAAGTGTTGTTAAAGGGATGAAAAACTGTAAAGATTTATCTTTACAGCAAATTGTTAATTACGGTAAACCTTCGGTCAGTTCGAACAAAATTAAATAAATATTGATGAACCTGTTCGGATTATACAAAATTATGCTTCAGAAAATAAGCGTGAGTTCGAACTATCGGCAAAAATTTCGGCAAAGTGTAAATCAAGTCACAAACATATACCCGACATATTTTCTTCACCGGAGTATACCTCTATATATCCAATGTAAGGTCGATACGTAACAACGACGGCCTGGCATAGAACAATGGCACATTTATAAATGGGTAAAATGATAGTATATTATTTAATTCAATGTTAATTGATCATTAAACTTTCTTCATTTCGTGATAATTATGATCGTTATTGCGAAGCAGAGGCCCTTGTGTAGGCCCCGAAACAGTACACGTTTCATTTGTGACACAAAAGTTAAGACTACCTA